TTCAAGATATTCAACGGTCTTTAACTAAATGTTCAAAAGTCACAAATACATCACGAGACATCATCACGGAGTAAGGAATCCAATTTTAAAGTTCGAGCAGAGCATCCAGGTACACATCTTGTCCAAGGTTCCAGGAGGGTAAATATAGTAAAAGTCGTCCAATAGATTTTCCAAATCTGTAAAGTAGTCCAAGTAAGTGTTCCCCAACATTTAATTCCATGTGGTTTAGTTACGTTCAAAGTTATCAGCAAAAAGGCCAATATAAATTTCAATGTTCCCTCATTGTAGCCAGCTATCCACGCACTGAAACAATTTCAGTTTTATCTCCCATATTCTGTCAGACACTGGAATAATTTAAGAAGCACATTCTTCTTATAAAATCCTGACCCACCAAGAGTGTAAAAGTCTAAAATACACGAGCACTGCACCACTTGATCGGGTGCCCCAATATGTAATTTCATACGTCACCGAAAGCATATAGCCCATGGTATTACTATAAACATATAAAACACACATTTCTATACTGAAATCCATACAAACTGATTGTTTGTTTATCAAATATTTCAAAAATTAGAAAGTCATATAAAACAATTGGACCGTGGCTGTATCGTAATAAGTCATTCCTTGTATTCCAGTAATCCCCAAACAATATCCTTAGCCATGCAGACAGCATACCCATGGTGAACCAATAATTAGGTAGTAAAAATACATATGCAACACGACTAACCAATAGTCCATACCCATCCTAGTGCTATTCTCTAGCACATAAGGTATTTCCAAATTTGCCTGTATGCACCACCGAAAGCATCTTCCCACAGCTAAAATACTGAGTGTACTTTCTTCTATTTAGCAATAATCCAGCACTACTCGTACAAGACAACCCTATTCCAGCTGTATGACAAAAATGTCATTTTAATCCAAATTCTGACTACATCCACAATTCCTTCATACGCATTGCTTAACTACTGAAAAGATTCAGTATTATTTTCCCTCCACGTAACAACCCCACCAAACTGAAATTAATTCAGTTTATTTCCAAAAGACCAAAGTAAAAAATGAACATCATGATGATGTTATATAAAACATATTCTAGTACAAAACTGTACTTTTAATTCTTTTTCAGGATTACTACAAACCAGACAAATTTCCAGTATTTAATCAATGACGGCACACTATAGCCTATTACTTACGATATAACTTTGAAGTTTTGAGTATTGTTAATTCCCTCCTTTCCATGCAAGAAAGCTATTACATCCACACTGATAAGACATAGATGCAGACAAAACTGACAGAAATGCAAGTACAAAATGTACTTTTTAATCCAAAACAATTGCAAGTATAATCCAACAAATAATTATACTTTCCAAATCAAATTATGACAATAAATATAAATACGAATCAATTAAACTGAACTAACAAATTAAACAGCGTTTTCATAATTAAAACGACAATGAGTATTCCCCATTGGAACCTCCATACACACATTCCTTAGATGTCATGTGTTTTGACATCGAAATTATGACGTCATTTTGTAAACATGGCGTGATAAATTGCCAACTTCCTGAAAATTGCAAAGCCATACTAAGCTTTTTACTGCGATAAAATGCAGTTAAATATTTAATTTTGCTGTGGTGATGACGGTGTACACAAACATGTTGTGTTTGTTTTCCTTTTATGCAAGAACAGCATTTTTCCTCCAGAACGTGAACAAAATGTTCACATTGTGCTCCAATTTGGAATTTTTCTTCTGGATTTCTAATTTCAATTTCTGAAGGTAAGTCGTATTTAAGTATCTTACTGTACAAAACAATATTCAATGCAGTGCTGGTTATTGTAGGACCCAGAGCTCCAGATAAGAATTCACAAATTGGGGTTTTTACCCACCATTTTTTTTATGTAATTGGGTGATAAAGTTTTTTAATTGCATTATCAATTCCAATTCACCCCTCAAGTAAATATCAAATTGGGTTTTTCACCACCAAGCTCCTTAATGTATTGGGTTTTTTCATCAACACAATATTGAATATTTAGGCATGTTATAATCACATTATATCAACCCCAGATGTGTTTCCATCTTAAATGTGTTTCTTTCTTTGTAGAATATGTGCTAGCTGTTTTATTTGGTTTATTCACTGACGAGCAATTGTACATTTAATTTGTGTCCCGTTTTAAACGTTCTGTCAGTTTTGTATTTTCTCAAAACTTATGTAAACTGCAGCTGGTGTCACTAGTTGGACAGGAACTAATTGCCTTTCTAGATCCCATATGATCACCCTACAGTTTAATTATAGTTGGGGTAGGTGCGTGGCTAAGTGTTTAGATTTTTGTGTAATATATGTGAAATGTAGGTGCTGTAAGAAAGTTTTGCCAGTCCTTTCACCTATTTGCCAGATCTACTTTTTAATAAAAATAAAAGTAGTTTCCAGATTTAAGATATACCCCAAAACCTTGAGGTTTATAGGGTGGTTTATAATAACGGAGACCACATTCAACTTAAATTTACAAATAATTCTGCAACATCAAGTAAATAAATGACAATGTTATACTGCACTTGCAAATAAGACAACTCTCTTAAGCATCTAGAACAATTAGACCAAAACAAAGAAAGTGTCAAGCTGCATTGACGTAACAAACGTATATGTGTATTCACTCATCAACTAAAATGAAAAAAATAATATATAAACTGTTTTCGTTTAATTCAATTTACATAAATCTGGGTTAAATTGTCCCTTATCAGAACTTTTGGTTTCCGATGCTTTCAAACTACATATCATGTCATAATTGATTTGGTCTTTCACTTTTTCCAACTGATTTCGTTTTTGACGGAACCCCGTGTTTATCTCTCTAGCAATGTTCTCGTTATGGTACGCAAACACGCCCGTGCGTTCAATGGCCGCTTCCTAAAATCACTAGCTGAGTCTTGTTATCATCATAACTTTCCCTCAGCTATCAAAAAGAAGCCGAAAAAATGCTTCTACATGTTCTATAATCTATTCAATATTTTTACCGGACATTTACTTTCGTTTTATTTCATTGTATGTTATGATAAATCCCGAGCAATTCGAAAAAAATATGACATCACTAGCCTAGCATCCTGACCCAATCTAATACTTCGTCGTGCAGTGAGCCAGGACCCCAGGCTAAGCATGTCACACGCTAATTGGATAAACGCCGAGAAGATCGAAATGTTTTCATAAACACGTGTACCTTTTGAGCAACGGAAAATTCCAACAGGGACCCATTACAGCAACTTGATGCAGGGCTCTATTTTTAGAACGAAAGGACATTTCCAATTATAAATATTATAAAAATAGATTTACGCGACGACTGTAATCAAGTAAGGGTAAATAACGCAAACGATAGCGAATAAAAGCGTTAAGAACCCATGTTTTTGGCATTTAATTGGGTTATTGAACCCTGCAATGGGCAGTTGCATTGGGTTTTTAATTATTTTTATTGCGTGATCACGCACATACGCAGCTTATCTGGAGCTCTGAGGACCGGAACAAACAACGGAAATGATGAGAAGACGAACAATAAACTGTTCGATTTTGACTCCTAGGGATACAAAAATCCCTTTTATTCCAACCATATTGCGGAAATAATGTACAAGCAATACGCTTGTTTTGATTATTGTCCTAAAATATCCCTCGGACGAGCCCCCAATGAAACGGGAGTGGAGTTTCCACTGGCTTCGTTTTCCCGTTGTCTACCCAAGTTCTGGGATATTGGACAAACTATAAATCCACGTAAACATAAAGATGTTTATTTAAAAGACATATATGGTTGGATATAATTTACATACAATAAATATACAGTGGTGGCTAGTCTACTTGTCATTTTAAAGTTCCATATGTGCAAGCCAAACGGTATGAGCGTCTGCTCATTTCAAATCCTAAGTGTAGACTGCCCTGAACCCGGTGAGTGACGTCATACTTATAGTTCCTAGGGACAACGAGCCCGGCCGGGCCGGATGTCAGGCACGTGCAAGAAGCAGGAAGTCCCGACAAGAATAATTACATGGCCAGTCTCGGGAGAAAGATTTACAGAACTATAAATAATACTAACATTAACCAATTTCCCCAAATAAATAGTATAATTAACAAGTAAACAAAGTGACCACAATTACACATCTATAAATTGAAACTTTATGTAAGAACAAATCTGCTCTTTAAATTTGGTTTATATCAAGTTCAATGTCCTGATCATTGATAAAGTATTTTGAGTTATAAAATATCCTCCTCGTTATCATCAATATTATTTACTGTGGGGCGTAAAAGGGGGTATCTGCACAGAAGAACGCGAAATAAAATTGCCATTTCACGATGAACAAACAATTAAAAATTTCTTGCACGTTGATCTTTTTACCGATTTCACGAAACATGGTGAATAATGAACCTTTTTCAAGGCTGCACGTGAAATTAAAATGGCAAAACACGTTGCACGCAAAATAACCATTTACCACCCTCTTTACTAGATTGACTCAGATTAATTAAACTTGTTCCTTGAAAATTATTTTAATTTTAATCCATTTATTTATGTAAACAATAAACCGGTCTAATATAAACAAAACAACAATATCAAGATCGACGCTTTCACACAATTAACATCAAATATTCTCTAGTGAAAAAGAGTTACCCGGAATAAATACACCGCGGAATGAAAGTACGCTTACACTTACAGCGACATTTGGACTAGTAGTATATAACCTGCTTCAGAACAATTATCCTACTGTATACCATTATCGTAAAATTGACAAGCAGAAAGTAAACTATACAATGTGGACAAATATACCCATTTAGATATTAATAAAAGGCATGCACAATTTTGAAGATTGTAAAAATGAAAGTAGTATAAAACAGCAGTAATTTGAAGTTAGTTTTCTCCAACCAGTCACGGTGCCTTATGCAATTCTCATTTAATATTGATTTCACTGGGTTTTTTTTCTATTAATTACTGTTTTCCTATAACAATTTGAATAGGGAAGTTCACTTCTTTACCGTTTCGTTTCCCATCTCATTAAATTCCGCCATCTCAGATTTGTTTATAATGAGCATAGCATTCGGAGAAACGTTAACTCTAAAAGTGTTCCGTATAAATTTGTTTTTCTCTAGACTTACCCATCATACAGTTTGAATAACAATTTTTCCTTTTTAAATGATGAAAAGATATTTTATAGAGCAACACTAATACCTTAATTTTTGTATGATTTGTTATTATATTATAATAAAACTAAATTTTCAAAATTTTAATTAGTCAAACCACATCTCGCGCAAGCGAGAATTCATATTTTAATTCGAAATTGGGTCAAGCAAAATTCTGACGTTTTGAATTATTCTAAAAGAATATTCATATTATACAGAATTATTTATACTTATTTTGGACATAATAACACAAAAATAATGTCGAACGTAAGTGGTATATGTTGAAATCCAATTTGTTCATAGTTTAATTCAAGGAATTCGACATATTTTTACAAGAATGGATTTGTTTTCATCAAAACTTTACACACACAAAAAAAAAAGAACACACAGATTTTTCGTTGATCTTCACGAAATTATTTGCCCTAAAGCTGAACTCATTTCCTTAGTTTCAAATAACGATATAGAAAATAACATAAAAAATAGTAGAAACGTGGTGTTGTGTAATTGCAAGTAGAAGGGGAAACGACAGTGAAATAAATTTGCTCCTATATTTTTTCTAATTCAAAAATTTACTTTACTCTTTAGTATGTTACTAATACAGGATCACTGGGTTCCTCTTCACCAGTCTCTTCATCACATTCTTCTCCATTTCTAGTGATTTTAGTTGTATGGTCCTCCGTCATTGTTTGGTTCATCAACATGTAACTTATTTATCAAGCCTGTAATTATATCATTTTAATGTTTTAGTTGTTTGCACAGTTTGGTGATGTATGTGTAACTATATTTTCTGGTAGCATGTTGCATGGTTTTACCACTCATAGAGCAAAGAAATTTCTCCTAAATTATCTTCTAGCTCTGCAGATAGATTTTTAGGCTGTTGCCTCATAAACCTTTTCTCATTTTGAGCAGTATTTTTTCATGGTCATGTACATGTGCTTCCATAATATTATTAATTAAACAAATTGTGCTACGTTCAGGGGTTAAAAAATCCACTAGCCCGACGCCTGGGACTAGACTTCTACACTTCGGGCAATTAAAACTTGTAACCGAATATGCCCGACGGACTAGTAACAAACAATTCTTGGCATTTCCAAAATAGTAAGTGGAAAATCCCCTCATCACTATTCTATCTTAGCCAATCAGATTCAATTACGTACATCATCCGGGATTCCAAGAATTTGAACCGATTTTGTACATGTTTTTAAAATAGAACAACTAACTCTGGGTGGACCGGTATCATGTATTGATCGCAATTCACGTACTTTCAATATCAATTTCTCAGTACAGGGCGTATTGTACATTGCTTATGCCGAGATTTTCAATTAATGGTACTTGGGTGTATGATGTAATGATCGATATTGACCTGTCTTGTCGGACAGCTGTTAATTTGAGCTTGAAACCATGCACAAATTATTTCTAAACATTTTAGTACGGCCACCACAGGAACTTTGTCAGTTTCAAAACGAAAAACGGTAGATGAAGGGGGTAATGAGGCTGAAAATTTATCCCAAAAAATGCCAAATACGACCAGGAAAAGCAGAAAAAAACATATATAGTGTCATGGACAGAAAGATTCCCCATGGGCAAGATCGACTGTTACTGATGATAAACAAGAGATGATGTTTTGTGAATATTTCCGTTATTTTCCTGATCACGCTGATAAAAAGTCTTCTTTGTATGTGGGAACAACAAATATACGAATTGAACCACTGGTTTAACATGACAATATCAATGAACATGTTTTCTGTGCCCGAAAATATTTAACAACCCATAGTACAAGGGATATCCAAAAAGATGTCTAGAGATCCTTGTTATAATTAATAAAACAAAAATTTATTTGATTTATTTTATCAAATACCGTGTATAATGCCGCATTCAAAACAAGGGACACCCACTCTAAATTTGTAAGGTATACTCGGGCTAGCAGGTCAGTTTTGATGGGCTAGCAGCTCTTTCAACAGGGCTAGTAAAATCCTGCTACCAATAAGTCCTGGGCTAGTGAGCTGTAACAAATTTTTTTAACCCCTGTACAATGTACGTTACACCTCTCTGTCATATATTCCATTTATGATACAATACTCACAATGGAGTAACATTGAATTTAATCAGTATAGACATGTTTATCTATAACTAGCTGCGGAACCGTAGCCTCTATAACTACATGTAGCATAGAAAACATGGGTACATGCTGTTTCATTGATTTACACCCCCACATCTTTTTATTTAGTCCCATACCGACGAAGTCGAAGGGGACTTTAGGTTTGCACTCTGTCCGTCCTTCTGTCCATCCGTCAGTCCGGCATATCAGTTTTCCACATTTTTTTTCTTCGTTCTTGAAGATATTGATTTCATATTTGGTATATAGTTTTGCCATGACAAGTTATAGATCAAGTTGGAATTTTGTTCCGGTCTGATGATTTAGTCCAGAGTTCTGGACCATATCTAATGTTAGAGTACTATGTTAAACCATATTTCTGTACAAAGGGAGATAACTCATTTTTTAAAAGACATTCTTTGGTAAATTAATTTAAGAATTTTTTGGCAGGTTTGTTTGTTATTTTGTATAAACTAATTTTCTGAATGCTATATATATATATATATATATATATATATATAAAAATTATGAAGTGAAATCCTCTAATTAGATAATAATCTATTTTTATTAATGTATATATATATTACATTACATTGTGTAGATAAAAATTGTTGACATTTTATAGATAAGTTACAAATCTATATTAGTTTGTGACAAATAAAAGAAAAAATATTTGGAACTATTAATTATATTTGATTATAATTTGAAAATAGATATACATTGTATTACATCATATCTAATTTTAGAGAACTATTAATCATATCTAATGTTAAAGTGATTTCCACACTTTTATTCATCATGCTTGAAGATATTGATTGATAATTGGTATATAGTTTTATCATGACAAGTTATACAGATCAAGTTCGAAATTTTGTTTCGCTCTGATAATTTTGTGCAGAGTTATGGTCCTTGGACTTGAAAAATTCACTCATCAGTTTTCCACACTGTTTTTAGTCATGCTTGAAGATATTGACTTGATATTTTCTTTTTGTTTACACCATGAGAAGTTATAGAACAAGTCAGCTTTTTGTTCCAGTATAATGAATTTTTACCCGGTAGGAGGACTATGTACATTGTATTGCCATGCAATACTCTCAGAATGCTTGTTCATATTACAATGAGGCTATTTTATCATGTTCATGTAATTAGATGATGTAAAAGTAATTTGATAGTAATTTTTGGATGACATTAAGTCTTCTATGCACCATTGGGAACAGTGTAACCAACAAACATGTACAGTTTATGTACATGTATACAAGATCATGTATATTATTAGTTACATGGTGTGTTAGTGACCTATTACAATTTATATGGGATCAGTAAATTCCATATGGGGTGAAAGCGAAGCTCGAATCCCCATATGGAATTTACTGACTCCATATATATCGTATTAGGTCACTAGCACACTGTGTAAACGAATTTATCTTACCGACAATCTTCACATGTGGTATTTAGACTAGCGGCCTATCAAAGTGATTAAGTCTTCAATACTTAGTATTAAGAACCTACTTCCATTTGTCTATACAAAAAACAAATGCCAACAATAACAACTTGTTCATGTTGTTAGCTTTAAATTTGTTTTATGAATTTATTTCAATCGTTCATTATCAATTCCTTCATCTGTTGAAACCTTTCAGATTTCTTTTTTGTTTTGAAAGGGAAGTAACTCCTTACTAACCCCATATGGTCATATTTTTTACGACACCCTATATCAAATATATGTAGTAACCACGTGTAGTCCTTTAACCAATCATATCCCCAGAAATCTATAGGAGGTAAGATAAATATATATATGTCATTACATGATGGACATGTACATTTATTTACCTATTTCACTGATATATACATGTATATTCTGAAAAAAAGTATCAGTTTATTATTATTTTAATTAATAACTTAATTGTGTTAATAAGTAAAAATCTATCAATGTGAAATGGAATACATGCATGTTGAAACATTATAAACTGTCAAGGGTATAACTCTATATATAGGGTTATTAGAGAAAAATAAAATGTATTAATTCATGTAATTTAATTGGAAAATTAATTATCAAGGCTATGTATTAAGTTACTGCGCATTGTTTCAAGATTTCCCAAGTGCCCACTAAAAATTAAAATATTTATTATTTAACAAATAACAAACATATGACTAAAGATTAAGAAAATTTTAGAAATAAAAAGTAGGCAACTCATGAAAGTATCTGTAATAACCATGATAACACATGTATGATATTTTCTGTAATAACCCTATAGAGTTACATCCCTTGACTGATAAAGGTCATGAAGGTGAACATGAATGTATTAGACAGCCTTTTGGCTGGCTTAATTTTTTAACTGAATTTTAAATCCTGATTATTTTCCATAATCTTTTTTTAAACTGTTAACCGTAAATGACTCTTACAAGTCAATTAATCATTGATGATTAAGGCATTGATGATTAACCCCACAACATTCTGTATGTATGTGCCTGTCCCAAGTCAGGAGCCTGTAATTCAGTGGTTGTCGTTTGTTTATGTGTTACATATTTGTTTTTCGTTCATTTTTTGTACATAAATTAGGCCGTTAGTTTTCTCTTTTGAATTGTTTTACATTGTCACTTCTGAGCCTTTTATAGCTGACTGTGCGGTATGGGCTTTGTTCATTGTTGAAGGCCGTACTGTGACCTATAGTTGTTAATTTCTGTGTCATTTGGTCTCTTGTGGAGAGTTGTCTCATTGGCAATCATACCACATCTTCTTTTTTATAATTATATATGGTATTTTATATATATGTCAATGTGCAGATATGGTTGCCTATAATTGCTTACATACACTTCATTTGAACTTTTGTGGATAGTTGTCTCATTGGCAATCATATCACATCTCCTTATTTTTGCATTATGTAAATTTTATTTATCCACAGTCATGACAGTTAAAACATTGTAGTCTGACACCAAAAAAAGAAATTTTCTTGGATTTGATTTTTTTTTAACATGTTGAACATACCATTGTTTATTTTCAAGCTCATAAGTCACTCTGTGCTAATTTGCAAATTTGCTAAGATAATTTATTCATGTGGTCACTTTATTTGCAGGTTTCAAATGTAGAAAATTTATCACCACAAGTAATCAGGAGTCTTGCTAAAGAAATAGCCGATTTATGTAACGATCCTCCTGAAGGCATCAAGATTTTTCCTAATGATGAAGACATAACAGATATACAAGCACACATAGAAGGCCCAGGTAAGAACAATAGTAACACGAGTCCAAAAACCAAAAAAATATAATGTGTTTTCAGGGTTTCCTATTTTTTAGATCTCAACATGCATGACATGTCTACCCTAAAGTTTTGATATGTACCTTTAGTAGTCATGGTAGTGAGTTGTGACAAGATTGCTGGTCTCCCTACCCTATATAATAATACTCAAGGTAAAAAAAAAATGGCAGATAGAAAAAAGAATTGTACCTTCATGACCTTTGTCATGTTTGTTTGGCCTAAAGTGAACTTATGCAATATGTGTTTTGCTCATTGTTGAAGGCTGTATGGTGACCTATAGTTGTTAACTTCTACATCATTTGGTCTCTTATGTAGAGTTATCTCATGGCAATCATACCACATGTTATTATTTTATATTGTTTAATTTATCAGTTTATATATAAAGATAAGGAGATATACATGTTGTATGCTTGCCAATGAGACAACTACATGTACAAATGTATTCACCAAACAGTGGTAAAAAATAACTCAGAATGTTTTCCTTTAAAACTGATAAAAACAAATGTAAAAACAAATTTTTAATACTGATGAATGAGTAATTCATACACTTAAAGTAAAGACAAACATAGTGATGTACATTTCTGGATCCTTGTTAATGAGGAGCAGTTTGGACTTAAAGTTTGGACAGTCAAATTGGAATAAATATGTTAAGAAGCTTTATTTTCAAAAACATACAAAATAGGCCTTGAACATGTTTAAAGAATATCCAAAGACGGCTGGTGATTGTGGGTGATCTCTGTAATACTAACAGTAAAAGAGAGGCAAAAGATACCAAAGCAACATTCAAACTCATAAGTTGAAAATAAACTGACAACGCCATGGCTAAAAAAGAAAAAAAAAAAACAGACAAACAACAGTATACAAAACACAACATAGAAAAATATATAAATTCAAAAGATATTCTATGACATGATCATCAATCAGAGTATTAATATCATGAATACTATTATCTCTCTAAAAAACCCTGATTCACCTATTGTGTTCTTTACATTAATGACATTTAAATCTTTTGTTGTTTCAGCGGGAACACCATATGCAGGAGGATCCTTTAGAATGAAATTAGTACTCGGTAAAAATTTCCCATCAGAACCACCAAAAGGATTTTTTTTAACAAAAATATTTCATCCAAATGTTGCAAGTAATGGTGAAATTTGTGTTAATACATTGAAAAAAGACTGGAAAGCTGAATTAGGAATTAAACATATATTACTAGTAAGTTCAATTTATACACCATATGCATGTACACTGTAGGCTTTATGTTGAGAAAAATTGACCTCTAGATTTCTATTCTAACTCTTTGTGTTGCTTGGTTGATGTCTCATTGATGTATACAACACATCTCCTTTGATTCATAGTCATAGAGATGCATTTAATTTATTAATAGTCATAAATATTTCGTAGTGGAGTCCCAAGATTTGATTTGATTTTTGGTGTTTTAACACCACTTTTAAGCACCGCTTTTGGGTTATTACGTGGCGGCTAGTTTTTATTGGTGGAGGAAGCCGGAGTGCTCGAAGAAAACCACCGACCTTCGATAGGAAAACTGACAATCCTAGTCAAATAAGATTGGAGACGAGTGCACCCGCACGAGCGGGTTCGAACTTGCAACCTCAGTGTTGACTGGCTAGTGATTACAGTAGTAACTACTTAGACCACTCGGCCACCAAGGCCCCTGGAGTCCAAGCTATAGCTCTTTCCAGATTCTTAAATTTTACTCAAACTTTATAATTTGAAGTTGTTTATCTCTTTTTTTCAAGAAGTGGAACTGATTCACAGAAGTTCAATGAAGAGTCAACGATAAGTGGTTTTTAATCCTAGTTGATTTAAAGAAAATATTTAGTTATAATTATAAATATAAAACATATTAATGGTATCTTGTCTATTTTACTTCTAACTGTTGCTCTGCACTACAGCAAACCAGTATTCATACCAGTATACTTCCCATCAAAGGGAATAATTGCAATTTTAAAATCAGATTCTGGCTTTCAGAAGTGAGTTTCTAGAAAGTCCCTTAGGTGTAACTTGAACATGAAATAGACCCATTAAAGGCTAGAAAGCAAACTTTATTTGTTACATCAGAAAAACAGCAAACCAACAATAACAATGAATAAAAACATCCAAAAACAATTACATTTATAGCTGAATGGCCTATAACAATGTTAAAAGTTGTCTGTAATCATAAATTACAAGTTCTATAACTATGACTATGTGATTATAACATAACCGATAACAGAGAAAATTTACCATACTAGCTGTGTTAAAACATTGATCAAAAATCAGAATCTCGAAGACAACATAGGATAAAGTTGAATGAAGAAGAAGGGGATGAATAAGTAGACAAACTATAAACTATGTCTACAAGATATAAATACATATACATGTAGTATTTACTTTTTGCAAAAATTGAAGTTGACACACATGAAAAGTGATGAATGTTTATATACATTGTAAAAACTTTTGATTTCATTTCAGACCATTAAATGTTTACTAATAGTACCAAACCCAGAATCTGCATTAAATGAAGAGGCAGGAAAATTACTTTTAGAACAATATGAAGATTATTCCACGAGGGCAAAACTTTATACAGAAATACACGCCAAACCTATGAAGTAAGTTTTCGTTGCAGATCATGTACCGTATACAGTTAACTCTCGTTGTCTCGAACTCGGTTGACTCGAAATTTCGGATGAGTCGAAGTTTTCACATGGTCCCGAACTTTGTTCCATATAAATGTATGTAATTCGACTCCCGATAAGTCGAAATTTCGGTTGAGTCGAACTAAATTTACGATCCCAAGGTTAACAAAAGCATTCAAAATTCATTATTTATCTCGAGCTAATACACATATGTCAAAATATGACCTCCGGCATTTAAATGGATTGAAGAGTTAATCTGACAATACACGTGTAATTAAATTTCCAGTCACTGACCACTGTATTGATTTATGACATGCTTTTTCCACAAGTGTTTACCTAAGATTATCTTTTATAGAATTTTTATAAATAATTAGTGATACATTGTTAATGTTCATGAAAAAGTATTTAAAATGTTTACAAAACAATTAATTGTGATTTACACTAATGAGCTTAGGTGTGTATAAAGAAAGGATTATGACTTACGTTGACGATCACCTAAAAACTACTCAATCGGCGTCTTTAATCTTGTTGTATTTTCTTTTGAAAAGAAAGAGTGAGATAAAACAAAATGAAGAGAAATCTAAATTTTCTAAAATCTCTTGTATCCGAGAATAAACAATTTTGTCAACTATAAACGACCTGAATAACGAAACTATCGATTGGAAATTACTCTCTCAGGTAAAAGCCATAGGAAAAAATTGTAACTGAAACAATTGAATATGTAAAAATAATGTTATTATAATAATGAAAGACCATGACATATAAATACATCAATCTGATACCAGAATATCGATCCCCTTCCCATATTCACCCGGATTTATTATAGCTTTACCAAGCTAAGCAAGAGTTGTGTCCCTTGTTCTGTCAAACTTCCAGTTTTCGTTTGAGTCGAACTACGTGTATCTCGAAATATTTCTCTGGTCCGGCTGACTTCGAGATAATGAGAGTCGACTGTATTTAGAAATTATTACAAGGTTTTTGTCGAGCCTTCGACTTTAGTCGAAAAAGCGAGACATAGCGATCCTACATTCCGTCGGCGGCGTCCACAAATATTCACTCTGTGGTTAAAGTTTTTAAAATTTTAATAACTTTCTTAAACTATCCTGGGTTTGTACCAAACTTGGACAGAAGCTTGTTTATGATCATAAGATAGTATCTAGAAGTAAATTTTGTAAAAAAATAAATCCATTTTTTCCTTATTTTACTTTTAAATGACCTTAGATTTTCTGCCAGGAAACAACACATTCACTCTGTGGTTAAAGTTTTTAAAATTTTAATAACTTTCTTATACTATTTTGGATTTGTACCAAACTTGGACAGAAGCTTGTTTATGATCAAAAGCTAGTATCTAGAAGGAAATTTTGTAAAAAAATAAATCCATTTTTTCCGTATTTTACTTTTAAATGGACTTAGATTTTCTGCCAGGAAACAACATATTCACTCTGTGGTTAAAGTTTTTAAAATTTTAATAACTTTCTTATACTATTTTGGATTTGTACCAAACTTGGACAGAAGCTTGTTTATGATCAAATGCTAGTATCTAGAAGGAAATTTTGTTTTCTTCCAGTTAACATTACATTCAGTCTGCAGTTAAAGTTTTTAAACAGTTATTTTAAATCATAAACTATCCTGGAATTTTACCAAACTTGGACAGAAGCTTCTTACATATATAAAAACATTAAATATTTTTATTGATTTACTTCCTCATTTTTGTTGTCTGTGATTAACAGAAAAAGTAGGCGAGACACTGGGTTCCGCGGAACCCTTACGAATTTTTATTATTGAGAAAAATTGTGACAGGATCTATTTCACAAAAATTAAAAGTAATATTTTAAACGTTTGATAGCGTTATTTGTATACAGCATTTCTAGAAAGCGAATTAATAATCTTACATTTGTTTCCTTTTGTGTAACAATCGCAATAATAAATTCACACAAAAATTTCTGAAGTTACGGTACTTGAAATTACATGTCAGACATCATGGACATATTGGCTAGATTTAAATCATTTATACCTGTGGGAGTGAGCACATATTTAGTAAAACTTTTATATGGTCCCCTGTTTCCAACTTACGGTACAGACATGTCATATTTCTATATATACATGTATATATATATATTTTAATACAAAAATGAACCCAAATGAGTTTTTTGTTATTTAATATATTTCCAAAATCTGAGGTTTTGAGTGAGCAAGGTTGAAATGAAAAAAACAATCCAATCTGTATTGTAATAAGACTCATTGAAAGGGATACAAAGGGATCAACTGAGCTGTTGGAATTTTTTTATCATAGTGATGGCAATTATTCGTTTAAATATCAAATCAATTAAAATCAGTCTGTAAGAGCCAAACAGTTAGTTTAGCCAATAGTTTAACATTGTTAGTAATCTTGCCATTGTGTGCTATAGTCTATCACAGGAACAGTTGTGTGAACTTGATATCATAATATATATATGGACAATTGGGTTCTGGTCTCCTCTCACTATTCTGAAATTACATTTTGTTCTATTGTCCCTCAAGAATATGCTGGTTTGGACCTTTGGGTTTTGAATTTGAAAATTGAACTGTCTTGAGTGGAGAAATATCGTTTTGCATAAGGCTTCACTGACCGTGACAAGGATAGGTGGTAGATTCTATTTTTCTGATGATATAAAGACAATATTTAGGCAAACTTTATTTTTCCTTTTTCAATGATCTATAAAAAAAGATCATGTTCTTTCTATGTGTTGTCATTGAAAGGATAGCAAGAAAATTTGACATAATACTTGATTTTTGACTAATTAACAACTGATATCAAATAAAAGAAATAGAGTTCCAATGCCCCCTGCGTTGCACGTATTTTATCTGTCCAAGGTCAATAACAAAAATTAAAAATATTTTATCTGCAATTGTTTTCTAAATTGTCTGTGACATTCTGGATATTAACCTTTGATATAAATTTGATAAAAATCTGGCAAGAATTGTACACATGAGAGCACTAACAATGCAATTTTCCATATAATTAATATTTCTAAGGGGCAGAACTCTTTTAAAAATTATTGATCAGCACTGATTTATGAACTTGTCCGAGACATTGCTGATATAAACCTACAATAGAATTTTCATAAAAATCTGACAAGAATTGTACACATGAGCCCGCTAACGATGCAATTTTCCATGTAATTAATGTTTCCAAGGGCATAACTCTTTTATCAATAGTTCATTGGCACTGATTTTCAAACTCTTCCCAGACATTGCTAATATAAACCTATGATATAAGTTTAATAAAAATCTTGCAAGAATTGTACATGTGAGAACACTAACAAGACTGGACGAACGCTCGGTATTTCTATTTCTATATCAACAATCATCTTCCCTCTAAATGTATTTTTAGCTGTACATGCACACTTTTTTGGGGTCACAAAAATAATCATAGTTTTTAATAAAACTAAGTCTAAAATCTATCCCCTGTTATCAAATCATTAGGTTAAAACGGTTAACACCCAAAGCAAGCCTGACAAAAATTCAAAAACTAGATGTGTCGTAACGATCTGACACGAATGGCCCCACCCCACACCTTAAAAGATTGAAGCCATTTTTAGGAGTGGAAATTTGAGAATGAAAATCTGTATAACTGAAATTTGTATTGTAGTCCAAAGCCTGTAGTTCCAGCAAAATTCAATGGAGCAGAACCAAACATAATCTCGATCTGTATTTCATTACAGTAGACTCAAATACTTAAAAATCAGCTTAATATGTCAAGATGTTTAGAAAAAAAGTCTATAACTGTCATTTTCCCAAAATGTTAAAGTCCAAACCAGTTGTTCTAAAAAAAAAAATCAGTTGAGATGCCACCAAACGTAAACTAAATCTGTAACTTATCATAGTAGACTCACATACTAAAATTTAGCTCAATATGTGAAGGCATTTAGAAAAAAGACTGTATAACTGTTTGTTGCGGGATGACGGAATGACAGATAAGGGTAAAACTATATGACCCTGACAACTTTGTTGCAGGGCCATAAAAATAAGTAAATTATATGACATATATTGAAATGACCTTTGTTTTTCCAGTTGTTCCATTGGTTGATATAGTCCGAGCATTTGGTTTTGTCACGCTTTATAGACTTTCTCCACACTCCAAAGATGTACTGTCAGTTACCAAAATCCATATGCAAATACAACCTAATCAAAAGACAAAATTCCTTACTGTTTGACTCCCAGTTGCTACCTTGATTGTCTTGAATGTTTACAATTACAAACAAAGAAAGGTTAAACATGTTAAGTAATTGGTGAGGAAAAATTCCAGGATTCTTTTTTAATCCCTGTAACATGGATTTGCAATTCTTCATGAGTTGATATAGTATGTAAAATTATTGTTATAATTTTAGATGTATGGAAGAAAAAGAAATCCCAGCATCACCTAGTAAAAACTGTTTAGAAGGACCAATGGCAAAAAAGCATGCTGGAGACAAAAAAGTGATAGACAAAAAGAAAAAAGAGAAGAAAAAAGTGTTAAAAAGATTGTGATATAATGTATTTGTGTATGTTGATCATGTATTTATTCATACAATGATAGTATTTATGCGTGTAGAGAATTGGAAGCAATTGACCTTCTTGGTTTATATGATAAGTGTGTAAATGCGATTTGTGTGTGTATGATTTTATGAACCAGGAATTTTATATGAAATTGACAACCTTCTTGTATAAAAGGAAATCATGAAGTACCATTATATTCATTCATAGCTCGACAAAATTATTCGGTGACATTTGTTGTACGTCCAGCGATATTTTTGTAATGTATTAATTACCAGCTGCAATATAATTGTGACGGTGAAATGTGTACACAACGATCTGGTCGTTTTTATTTGTTTATTTATTTAATTTTTTGTTTATAAAAATTTTATTTCTTAGAAAATCTACTCATTTACATTTTCTAAGTTTTTTTTTTAATTTTATGACCTGAAGTCTGTGAATGCTTCATGTTCCATTTTTCATTTGTATCATAAAATTCTTAATTATATATATTATATGTGTCTAATAATAAATTTGAAAAGAAAATGAAATTAAATGGATCTTAATTACTTTATAAAGTAAAATAAGTAGATGTGGTACAATTACCAATGAGACAGTTATCCATCAGAGTTCTAATGACATTGATGCTAGCAACTATAGGTCACGGTTAGTCACCATACGGCTTTCAACAATGAGCAAAACCCATACCAAATAGCAAGCAATAAAAGGCCCTGACATGACAAAATGTAAAAAAAAGTTTCAAACAAGAAGACCAAATGCCTGATTTATGTACAATAATGTTTATATGCCTCTTTCCAAGGTAATTCTGTTGTCTGACATAAGAGCACAATGTAAAAATATAACTTTAAACATAGAGTTTATGTCACTAAGAATAGGTCAAACACTTAAATAGTTCTCTGTGGTGCAGAATGTTCAAAGATGTTCCAGCAACATCTCTGAAGACTAATATCAGCACTGTTTCCAATGTAAAAATAGTCATTTTCCTAATTCAATGGGAAATTTCCCTATTTTATTTTTCATATAGTCAATTTTAAAATTAATTTCTTCCTATCTAAAAATATGAATAAACTGACATGTTGTTTGTACATTAATGAGACGGTAAGAAAACAACACAAATATTCAAACAATTAATTAAGGACCAAGTTTGTCCTCTGTACTGTGATGTAGCAATTCTATCAATTCATATAATTAATTGCAGCTCACACATATATACTGTTAGGGATCAGGATTTTATCAACACAAGTTTCAGTTGATTGTATCACTATTTTTAGTATAAACCCCTACCTCCAAAGGGGGAATATGGTGATGCAAATGTCTGTCCATTTGTCCACGATAAGGTTTAAGTTTCCATGTGATGATTAAAGTATTGCTAAAACCAAATCTTTTAAAATTTTAACACATTGTCATGTACTATAAATCACTAATAGAGTAAAACCAAGTTTAATCTTGATGTTTTTGTCTCGCTTTGGCGGAGTCAAAAAGCGAGACATAAGTGTGCTGTTTCCGTCGGCGGAGTCAACAATGTATTAGTTTGTGATTAGGTCTAGTTCATGGTGAACCACTAGTGGTAGGTCTATGATATTTGGTATGCAGTTGTATTAGCATTGGCATATCTCATTTCCATGGAGATTATTTGGCTCCGCCCCCTTAGTCATGGTCTATAGACTTTGAAAATTTTCCTAAGTTAACATGTATTAGTTTGTGATTAGGTCAGTTCAAGGGGAACCATTAGTGGTAGGCCACTGTTAGTTGGTGTTCATTTGTATAAGCATTAGCACATCTCATTTCCATGGAGAATATTTGGCCCCACCCCCTCAGTCATGGTCTATTGACTTTGAAACTTTTGCTTAGTTTACATGTATTAGTTTGTGATTAGATCAGTTTAAGATGAACTTCTAATGTTAAGTCAATGATATTTGGTATGCAAATTTATTGGCATTTGCAAGTATCGTTTCCATGGAGATTATATAGCCCCACCCCTGATCATGGTTCATTGACTTTGAAACTTTTACATAGTTTACAAGTTAATGTTTGTGTTTAGGTTTGTTTAAAGGGAATGACTTAAAATAAGTCCATGGTATTTGGTATGCAGTTGTATTAGCATTGGCACATCTCATTCCATGGAGATTGCTTAGCCATGTACCTTCAGTCATGGTTCATCGACTTTGAATATGTTGCAATGTTGGTTTCCTGGTTATATCATTTAAACCATATGATGTTCATCATTTACCAAACATAGCATGAGAATGAATCTTGTTAACACAAGACACATGTAGATTTTCGATAAATAGGTCAAAGGTCACTTGCAATATCTATTTGTGATCAATTAACATAAATTTCATCAGACTTATGTTAGTCTTCATCACCAAACCAGAGAAATATAACTATCCGTCAAGTATTGTAGATACTATAAGCAATAGGTCAACTATATTTGGTGAATGGAATGATTGTAAAGTGTAGTATCTGACCTTGACCTCAGTTTCATGGTTCATTGGTCCAATATATTTAAGTGGTTTGGTCTGTTTGTTCAGATACTACAAGAAATTGATCAGCTGTATTTCATGAATGGTATGATTGTAAGGTGAACATGTTTGTTTGGCAGGTGTCAGTTTACCTTGACCTTTTTTAGCTCACCTAGCTTTTAAGCGCCAAGTGAGGTTTTCTCATCACTTGGCGTCCGTCGGCGTCCATTAACTTTTATAAGTTTAACAATCTTCTCTGAAACTGATAGGACAAATTAAAACCAAACATTGTTACCATCATCGTTGGAATTACTGATTCTTTAAAAAAAATGTGCCTGTGACCCTGGCCAGCCAACCAATATGGCCGACATGTCTAAAAATAAAATATAGAGGTAAAATGCAAGGTTTAGATATAAGAAGATGTGGCATGAGTGCCAATGAGACAACTCTCCATCCAAGTCAAAATGAATAAAAGTAAACCAATATAGGTCACAGTACGGTCTTCAACATGGAGTCTTGGCTCACACCGAACAGTAAGCTATAAAGGGCCCCAAAAAATAATAGTGTAAAACCATTCAAACGGGAAAACCAACAGTCTAATCTATATAAAAAACGAGAAACGAGAAACACGTATGAACCACACCAACAAACGACAACTACTGAACATCAGATTCCTGACTTAGGACAGGTGCAAACAAATGCAGCGGGTTTAAACGTTTTAATGGTACCAAACCTTCACCCTTTTTCTGAAACAATAGTTTTGTCTATTATCTTGAAAACCACATTTTTATAGAGAAAATCTGACACAGGAGCAAAAATATCAGAACTTTATACGACTTCATACAGGAGTTATTGCCCCTGGATGACAAATTTTTAGCTCACCCAGGAACATATATATTCCCAGGCTCGCCTAACACTTTGGTCCAGTGTGAGCTTTTGCAATCACTTAGCGTCCGTCGTTGTCGTCCTCCGTATGTTAACTTTTACAAAGATCATCCCTGAAACTACTAATCCAAATTTCACTAAACTTGGCCAAAATCATCAATCAGGTATCTAGTATAAAAAAAAATTGTGTCTGACGACCCCGCTTGCCACTCAACATGGCCGACATGGCTAAAAATAAAAGGTATGGGTAAAATGCAATTTTTTTTTATTATCTTGAAACCGCTATTGATGGAGACAATATGACAGAGCAAAATGTTCAGAATGTTGAGATCTATTGACATCAAAACTGTCAGACGACTTTTTATAGGAGTTATATATATAATAATTGTCCTTAAACTACGATATTTTTTTTCATTTTTGCCCATTATCACATAAAACATCCACAGAAACTTTAAATTACAAAAAATAATAAGCAAGACAAGATCTACAAATACATCAAACATGATTGAAATCGTCAGTCGACACCTTATTAAACTTATTCGTCTTTAACGACATTTTGTTTTATTATTTTTTTTGGATTTTTGCCTGTTATCTTGAAAACTATAATAGATAGACATAAACTTTAACTAGCAAAAATGATAAGCAAGACAAGATCTACAAATAAGTCAAACATGATCGAAATCGTCATTTGACACCTTATTGAAGTTATTGCCCTTAATAACAATTTTCCCCTTATAGCTCACCTGGACCTTCGGGCCAGGTGAGCTTATCTCATCACTTGGCATCCATCATCCGTCGTCGTTAACTTTTACAAAAATCTTCTTCTCAGAAACTACTGGGCAAAATTTAACCAAACTTGGCCAAACGAGGCCAAACGATGACCCCGCCTGCCAACCAAGATGGTCGACATTGCTAAAAAAAGAATATAGGGGTAAAATGTAAGTTTTGACTATTATTTTGAAAACCGTTATAAATAGTGAAAATCTGACAACAGCAAAAAAGTTCAGAATGTTGAGCTCGATCTACCAATTGTTCATATACGTCAAAACTGTCAGACGATTTCTAATAGGAGTTGTTGCCCTTAAATGACAAATTTTACCATTTTTTTTTCATTTTTGCCTATTATCTTGAAAACTATAATAGATAGGGAGAAACTTTAAATTGCAAAAAATGATCAGTAAACAAGTCCTACATATAAGTTATCATCATGGTTTAAATCGTCAGTCGACTCCTTATTAGAGTTATTGTCCTTTGATGACAATTTTTACCAATGTTTTGCACTTTTGCCTTATGTCTTAAAAATTATTATAGATAGATAGAAACTTAAATAAGCAAAAATGATCAGCAAGACCAGATCTACAATTTAGACAATAAAAAGGAAATCGTTCAATGACTCATTATTGGAGTTGTTGCCCTTTAATGACAAGATCTTCAAATAAGTATAATGACCAAAATCGTCAGTCGACTCCTTACGGCAGTTATTGCTCTTTATTGACGATTTTTACCCAGTTTAAGCTCACCCTGCACAAAGGGCCGAGTGAGTTTTTCTCATCACTTGGCGTCCGTCGTCTTATGTTAAAGAGAGGCGAAAGATACCAAAAGAACATTCAAACTCATAAGTCAAAAACAAACTGACAATGTCATGGAAAAACCGAAAAAACGACGAAAAGACAAACAACTGCATGTACACAAAACACAACATAGAAAACTAAAGACTGAGCAACGCGAACCCCACCTAAAACCGGGGATGATCTCATGTTCTCCGGAAGTGTAACTTTTACAAAAAAAATTTCCTCTGAAACTACTGGGCTAAATTTAACCAAACTTGACTACCGTAACAGTCATTATTGGGGTATCTCGTTAAAACTGAGTATGTGTCTTATGACCCGGCCTGCCCACCAAGATGGCAAAACTATTTTTTTTAATTTTTCCTCAGTATCTTTAAAAAAAACTACAAAAAGTAGATAGAAACTTAAAATAGCAAAAACGATTAGCAAGACAAGATCTACAAATAAGTTTAAAGGTCGAATTATTGCTCGTTAATAAAGAATTTTACTAACTTAGTGTTTTTGTCTATTATCTTGAAAACTATAAGAGATGGATAGATAGAAGATGTGGTATGAGTGCCAATGAGACAACTCTCCATCCAAGTCACAGTTTGTAAAAGTAAACCATTATAGGTCAAAGT